AATTAAACTATAAATTTGTTATTGTACAAACAACGTATACTTTAGGTACCGGTACGCGTTGCAAACGTAGTTTATTTCTCAATCCATTTGTTCGAAAAGTGAGAACGGTTAGATATCAGATATGTCTGCACTAAATCAGGGAATGTTGGTTAGGAAGTAAAATTGCATAATATGTATGATAGAGCATTCAACACCTGATATGAATTCATTAGATGCAAGCCTTGTCAAAGTAAATTAATCTCTTATCTTATATACCGTTAGTTAGGTGTCAATTTCTTTATTATCATAACAGAAACACACGTAGACACGTGATAGTCACTGAGTTGTTTATCGTTCGCAGGGGATAATTATACATGTACGAATTAATGCCCCATGCCAAAGACAAAGTTATTAGAGTAAAGTGTCTAAAGGCTACAGCAGAAAATTGCGTTGATATGTTTAGAAATAGGGAACTTACAATGCATAGCTCAATCCCTCACGTTTGCACCACCAATATCTCATGCATATGATGAAATTTTTTTTGTCAGCTACATAAATCCTGAATACTCAAGAGTATATTATATTATCGTTATGTCAATGTATAAACATAAAATTTCACTTCGGATTTGATATGTGGTTTTTCTTGTAGTGTATCGAGTTCTTTTTTGCTCCCAATTACATTTACATACACAAATAACAGCCCTACCAGAATGAGTAAATTGTCTAAAACTCTTTTCAGATTATCACATTGTCTTTGACAACAAACTGTTGTTTGCCTATATATAGTCATGTTGTGCCTATATATGGTTATGATGTGATATGTCATCATGACCATAATTAAGGAGTATCATGGTTTGTCAAATAAAATGCTATAGTCAGCACAGGGCTTTAGAAAAGACATGGCTGATGAATAATATGTTATAAAGTTCAAAGTTCAAAGATCAATTTATTCTATTCTATTTATTTTATTAGACCAAATGACCAGTAGGCCTAAATGTTTCAATACAAAACTTAAAGAAAATTAAATATTGTTTTCGAAAAATAAAATGTTTACCTCATGCACAGCATGATTTCATAAGAATACACAATACACTATATAGCCATGAAGTAAACACTTTATGTGACTTGAATAAGTATGTTCACAATATTGCACGAACATACGCTCTCAAATTATAGTAAGCGAAGGTGTCGTGGTCAAGATCTAATTTGCATATTCATTTAATCGTACATAAACGTAACATGATGAACCAACATACAAATAAGAAAATAGGTCGTATTACAACACGATTCTAATGCACTTTTTGTTTTTAGTAAATCTGTTTTACCCTGAAAAACAAGTCACAGAAATATTTGTTTAATTATGCAATATTAAAAGTATTTTTCTTTGAGGCAATAATTCAGCAAAGCTAAAATATATCAAATCAAATATTTATTTTCCATGTAATTACAACATATAATAGGCCTAAAATATACTATATTGTAAATATAGAAGTCAGGTGCATTGAAGGAGGCTGTTATATGTTTTGAAGTTTAACAGAACTTCGAGGCATTACTACATTTTCGGAGTTGTAAAGACCTATAACATGATCAATAGAGAAAGAAAAAAGAAACATTGAACGGAATAGATTAAATCATAGTTTGAAAGCTGTTATGACACTGACTATGTAAGTGGAATGATAAATTGCAGGGCCGGCGGAACGTTTTTCAAAGTGTGGGGCCCCACTTATAAGCAGGTGCGTAACAGGGGTCTTGGGTCTGGGGGGGGGGCAAAGGTAATAATTTTCCCGGTTAGTAATTTATGACTTGGTGTGATACCCCCCCCCCCATATAGAAAACAATATGACATATTTTATTATTAATATAGGCCACACACGTGTGTTTGAAGCTAAAATATAAACATTTTCATCGTGGTTTTACTTTATTACAATTCATAGGCCTGTTCTTTCACCATCATTACACAATGAGGCCCTTCTTTTAGGTAAAACGATCTATCTTAAATTTTCTTTCTCAAGTTTGGGACTATTATGTTTTTAAATAACTTAGAAGGCAAAGGAGTGCAAGCACAATATTTAAACACAAATGAAAAATGTTTGTGTTTTTAATTCTAATTTCGTCAGAATTGATCAAAACTCCCTAAATGTGCAATTTTTAGAGGAAATTGGCCTACCTCAACAAGAAATGCTCTTATGTTATATATGGCCACACTGGTTTTTTAAAACTGAATATAAGCATTTTCCTTATGGCTTTATTTATTACAAACATATTCTTTCAACATCATTACACATTGAGGCCCTTCTTTTAGGTAAAACGATCTATCATAAATTTTCTTTCTTGAGTTTGGGACTATATGTTATAACTTAGAAGGCAAAGGAGAGCAAGCACAAGCTTTAACATTACAAAATGCGCGCGAAGCGCGCGAAATTTTTTTGTTTTTTTAATTCTAATTTCGTTGGAATTGATCAAAACTCCCTAAAATGTGCAATTTTTAGAGGAAATTGGCCTACCTCAACAAAATATGCGATTTAAAATTTGGGATTTTCAGGCACTTTCCCGGGTGAAAAGGGCATTCAATGGGGAAAGACTTTCCACAGATGGATATTTTCCCCTTGTCCCCCGGTGGTTACGCCACTGCGGAGAATACCTGGCGGCTTAG